ATAAATACAAATATTGCAAAAATATAATCTTTATTTTCAAATATCATTATATTAAATTTTATTTAAATATTTTAAATCACTTTTACTAAAATGCATCTATGGTGTTTTTACACCATAGGTTCCATTTCTCAAAAATGTACTAAGTAAACGGGATCAGGTTTTTTAAGTAAAAATGTTCAGGACCTCCAAAAACCTTATAAGAACTGAGATTGGCCCTATTAGGCTCTTATATTAGCTTTATAATACATATATTATATATAAAAAAAATAATTCTTAATTTCCTAACTCTAACCTAAATTTTATTAAAAGAAATTATATATAGGTGCTAAAACACCATAGGTGCATTTTATAATAATTGTTTTAAATAATTAAAAAAGTAGATCAGAGACATATTTATAGTAATTATGCAGGCAAATTTGCCTGCAAATCTCTACCTATTAAGAGATAATATAAGGTTTTAATTTTAGTTTTTATAAGGTTTTTGAAGGTTCTAAACATTTTTACTTAAAATACCTAATATTGTTTACTTGGTATATTTTTAAAAAATAAAGATCTATAGTGTTGAATACCATAGGTGCATTTTAGTAAACTTGAAAAAATAATTGTTAAGATATTTAAATTTAAAGTCAAGAAAACTTTTACTTAGAAAAAATTTGTCTCTTTTCTATTGACTCACCCCCATATATAAATAATATAAAAAAAAAATAAAAAATAAAAAACTATAACAATAGTTACACCCGCATTTGTTATAACCTTACTATAGGCATCTTAATTTTCTGCGCAACAATATACAGTCAAACCTCTTCAAGAAATTCTGTACTTATAAGCAATTGTGCCTGTATAGAGATAAGTTTGTTCTAAAAATTAGTGTGCTCATAAAGTGGGTGTAACTATATAGAGAAGCAGGCTATATGAAGTTTTACTCACATTAGTCATAACTTCGCAATAGGCACATAAAGTGGTATGTGATTATTGCGGGAGTTGACTGTATTAGCATTTGCTCCGACAATATCAAGCAGTAGATTGCGTAATATACACTTCTCATTTCGCTTATGTTTATACATTTTTAATGCTAATTTTGCAACATGGATCAATTTAATTAAGGTAATTCAGTAATTAAAAGATGTAAAAGATGTGCAACGCAACACGAGTTATGTATGTACATACGTACATACATAAAAGATCAGCCGAGGGACCGCAGCAAAAGGTAAAAATAAAAGTTATGTTTCTGGACTTGAACATTGCCATTCCTTTTTGTCCAAAACATTTAAGTTTTTACTTTATTAACTCGATTATATAAACAATCGATCATTGAGCGAATACTGTTATGGAAAAGACCCCGAGTTCTACCACAAAGCTTGTAGAGGTGCCTCGATTTGACGTAACTCATGCAACAGAGGCTGAAATAATTGATAAAGTCCACAAGCTCTGCGTTGAGCAAGGAATCCCACTTGTGCTTGAAAACTATCACTTAAAAAAAGAATTCGACGCAGAGTTGTTTACTAAAGAATGGATTCATCGAAATTGTGGTGGCCAAGGTAATGTTTTTTTAATAATTTTGGTAGAAATGTATTTGCTTTTACCGAGTAGGTTGCTTCTTGAATATTATATATCCATTCGTTTATTTTCCTTTTTTTCTATTTAACGGAATAGAGATAGCAGCCCGGGATGTAAATAATATCCTGGATGAACAAATGAAATTATCGGATTATTTAGATTATGTCGAGAAAGTTTCAAAGGACACGAAATCTGTACAACCGATGCTATATGCAAAAGATGTTTCATGTCCGACTGTATGGAAAGATTATATCGGTAGTTTTTTACCAAGTTATTTTAGATATAACGGAAATAATGATTTAATGGGTAAGTTAAGCATTAATTTGTATTAATGTTGAGCAATTTGAATAACAATTTACGACTGTATTTAACATTTCCTCATAAAAAATCCTAATTGCAGCAAATTTGACACCGGATCTTCGAGCTGAGAATCTCATGATTTACATTGGAGTCGGTGGAACAAAGTGTGTGTTGTAATATTCTTGATAATGATCTTTCATTTTGTTTTGCAATCCTGAGTGATCCATATATTTTTCAAAAGTACACCATTGCACAAGGATATGTGTTCTTCATTCGGACATAATATAATGGTTTATGCGGATCCAGGTATTTTAATAGTTTTATGTGTAATACAAAGTCTACTACTTCACGATTTCATAATAATTGTTTGCTTTCTTTTAAAGACTCCTGGTCTACATGGTACATGGTTGCTCGTGATGATAAAGAAAAAATGAGTGCGCTAGTACAGGCTCTGGGTCAGGATGTCGATCTTGAAAACTATTACGTGCCAATTGATATTTTAGAAAAGGCAAATTTTACTGTATACCACACTAAACAACAAGTCGGTGACTTTGTTATGGTTCCATCTGAATGTTGTCATGAAGTCATCAATGCGGTTTGTGAATATATAATTTTGTAATTTTGTCTTTTCACTCTTTTATGTTTCGTTTAAATAATTGTTACACTATTTTTAGGGCTCCTGTACGATCAAAGTCTCATGGAACAGGATAACTCCATATTCAGCGTATCTGGGAGTAACAGGTGCTGTGCCTAGCTACCAAAAGTAAGTTGACACCCTTCATGTTTGTATCATAATTAAAGCTCATATATGTCTCTAAACAATGTAGGGTATTACGTCCTGAGACGTACCAAATGAAACGTCTTGTCTTCGAGAGTTTAAGTAAATGGACTGAGGCGATATCCGCGAATTTACGTTATTCATCAACTGATAATTCTTCACCTAGTTTGGATTTTGTCGCTCGAATTGAAAATGCACCAGGCAGGGACCTTCGGTCTGAGTACAAACTCTTAATAGTCGCGTACAAGTACATTGTAGAACAAGAATGGGTTTCCAATGATTATTGGAACGACAGCGTCCATTTCCCATTGGTGAGTGATCCAGTATCAAGTAGACCAAATTCCAAGTAGGGGTGTTAATGGCTTAACTTGAAGCTGATCGTTTTCAAGCTAGGGCTGTAGCTTCGAGTCATGGCTTAAAGCTAAGGCTCAATTTGAGCCTAATTAGCTTCAAATGAATGCAGGATAAATACGTATTCTAATTTAGGAAGTATGACTCAAGTTGTAGCTTAAACAATGGTTCGAGCCATGTCTTAAACTATGGATCAGCAGTTGAGGGCTATTAAAGCTTTACCTTAGGCATCGGCTATGTTTTTTAGCCAAGCCGAGCTGTTCGAGCTAATGACATCCCTAATTGCAAGTAGGTAATTACTTACTGATTGTTATTTGGGTATTTATAGACTCCAGACAACAAATCACACATGTCATGCGATTTTTGTCATTGTGATTTGTGGAATCGCCACGTTCATTGTTATGATTGTATTACAGAAGCTGGCGTCAATTACGACATATGTCTTAATTGTTATGCAAATGGTCGTGCATGTTCTCATTTGATGCAAATTCGTAAAGGTCGAAAAATGAAACGACTTCGTGATGTTTACATTTGCGCAAAGAACACGTTCGAAAGAAAATTTGGAAAAGACGATGATTTGACTGATCTTAATGACTTAATGAATGAGTAAGCATTGTCTGTTTAACTAAGTAGTATTCCTAATTAACATTTTACTGGACTTTCTCATATGAAATCTCTTATACTCCAGTTCAGAAGCCACATTGGCATACATTTGTTGGAAAAAAGCTAACAACGGTGAAGATATGGTAGATAAACTTTTTTTTTTTTTTTTTACACATTTATTATGCTTTACATATAAATGATTACTGAGTTATTGCCTCAAAGGGATCCCGCGATTTAAGATCAAAATTACCAGCGAAAGTTTATATGCAGCCTTACTGGCCGCAAGCTCGTCGCAATTATGAAGAATATGCAAAGGAGAGATCAGAAAAACCCCGAAAAAAGAGAAGTCGCAAGCCTAAGACTACACAAGCTAATAATTCAGACCGTCAATCTGCTACGACTGATGCCAATATTAAATCTTTACAAGAGAGTGACTTGTCTAACTACGAATCCGATAGTCTCCCTACAAAGGTTCATACAGAGAAGAAAGAGTTTCACCAAGAATCTGTAAAATCTGCTAATAGAGCTTCTAATAATAGTGGCGAAAAGAACACTTCCACCAGAAAAAGGAAATCACGCAAAGTGACTAATAAGTCTCCGGAAGATTGTGAGACCGAAAGTATTCCTATTAAAAAGAAGTCAAATCGAAGAGCTAATCGTTCTTCAAAATCAGTCAGTGATACCACTAAATCCGGTGCTAAAAAGAAAGATCTTCAAGAACACGATCAATCTTTGCAAGGCGATGAATCAGTGGTTGTTTCTACTAACAATGGCAAACGGTCGCGAAATAGCAAGAAATCTCAACCCGCTCTAAACAAACGAAGTCGAATAGCAGACGAAAGCGAATCAAATAATAATAGTGAGAGCGTTAACGGCATTGTTACAAATAATAGTCAAGATAAGTTAGATAACAATTCCAGTGATTCAAATGTGCTTACGCCGATCGAACGCGATTTCGTAAGTATACCTTTTTTTTACAAGGTTTGGCTATCAATTTCGGACACCCTCAAGAACGTACCCACCCCAAATAATAAAAATCAATTAACAAGTATTTAAGAGTAGGCGCATTCTTGATAGGGGTGTCCGAAATTGATGGCTAAAACCTGTATTAATTTTATTGTGACGACGAATAACCAAGCATATTTATTATTAGGCACGCTCGTGCCGTGATTTATACTTTGTCGATAGTGTTCTGAGCGCATACATGAGACTAGAGGATCTCCAAACCCAACAGCAACACCCTTCTCCTGCTGAGTCAAGCCTATAAATATTTTAGTTTAAAGTGAATACATACACTTCTCATCAGAGTATTCATTATTGCGTTTCATTCTAAATTGTACATAGTAAATTCGATTAATTTTTTAAATAAATAGTTGCAACTAGATTTATTTACATTCTACAAATATGATGGAATTTTTTACTAAAGGGATCTCATATCAGGAAATGGTTAGAAAATAGTTACAGATTTATTGGAAATTTTTATATGATTTATAATACCTTTTTAAGGCTATGCAGTTCATCTTTGCTATGAGTCATGGGTAGGGACTTTGCAGGGGATGACAATATCAGCTGCACGAAATTCATGCTAATCGGTCAACAAAATCGCGGATTTCAAAAAATCAAAAAAATAAAATTTATTTTTTTTAAGGTTTAAATAAATGTCTTAGATCTTATTGTGAGTAGGTGAGCATATTTTTACATATTTATTTGTTTGCTAACTGTAAACAAAAACTTAGTATAGTCAAACTTTTTTGTTAAATGCATGTCTTTTAAGCATCTTTATTTTTTGCATATTAATATAAAATTATTTTATGCTATATAGTGAATTATTACACCTTGAGAATATAATTAAATTGAATAGAAAAAGCATGTACTATATATTTTTATGTATTATAATATAAAAGGTATATTTTCATATTATTGTAATTTGTATTATATTTTATTATACTATATATGTTTAATAATCAGTTTTTTTTTTTAATGTTAAAAAAATAATCAAAGTTTTTTATTTTAGCAAAAAATTATAAAATGTATTTATAGTGGTTTTGTATTATTATATGTTTTATTATATTTTTAAGTTTTGAATATAAAAATTTTTAACAATGTTAGTAAGGTTAGAGACTATTTTGTATTAATTAATTAACTAGCTTTTAAAATAATATATATATAAAATACTATACGTTTTAGTAAAATCAAAATTACAGTCAACTCTCTTTAAACCAAACAGCAGGTTCTTATATGTAAAAATTTTTAAAAGTTTAGTTTACAAAGAGTTATTATGTTGTTAATCCAAACTTAATAATAAATTTTACAAATGTTCTAAAGCTTTATATTTAGTTTTTACAGAGTTATTATGTGTTTAGTTTATCCAGATTCGGTTTAAAGAGAGTTAACTATATATTGTAAATTTAAAAGTAAATTTTTTTAGTTAATAGAATTTAAAATAAAATAGTTTGTTATAAATATAGTATACAGTATATATAGTAATATTATTTTTATATTATTTAATTTTTAATTTTTTTAAAAAAAATTAAAATTGTTTAATAATAATAGAACTATTAATTATACAAGTTTATTAAAACATATTACTAGTGTTTAATTTTTTTTTTTTTTTTTTTTTTTTTTTTAAGTGAGGTTTTTTCCTCAGTTCCTTTATTATTCATTATGCAGATATTACATAGTAAGTTTATATAAATTTTTGAGGGAAGTGGAGAATAAGCTAATTTACTTTAGACCTTAACCTTAGCTAGGTAGGTCAAAAACCTCCAAACTATGAATCAAGTATGTTGTGTGGAGAAGTGTTATAGGTAATGTATTTATGTTTCCAAAAGGTAATTTTACTTCGTAAAGCTTTTTCTTCTGTTGTAAGTTAAATTAGATTTTCTTAGATTATTAAATTTGTTATTGGGGACTGGGTTGTATTATTATCTATGAGTGGAACTTGGCTGGGGACCCAGATAGAACCATGTACTTCTTTGATTATTATGTAGTGGAGTTCCAATGAAAGATCTACTGCAGTCTTATAATTTCAAGTAGATACTAGTGTTTCTTGGATAATGACCTCTAAAGGTAGTTGTTTATCGATGTGGATACTAATAAAATTCTGAATGAATTGATTAGTATTGATAATATTAATATTATATTTAGATTTTAGTTGTGTTGGTTTATTTGTAATAATAGTTTGAAGTGTTATACTATTATATTGGCAGATAAGCCAATGCTGGTCTGTTTCCATTACATTATTGCATCGTTTACAACTAGGTGATGTGTGAGTATTTGAATGTCATTTGAATAAATTCAGTTGATTTGGTAATTCATTTGTTAGGATTTTAAATTTAAAGTTTTTAATTTGGGATAATTTAGAATCAGTGTGTCTTGTACAAGGTTTATCGTCATATCTTAGGTATTGAAAGATAGGTTGTTATTGTATCTTGGATGTTATTGTGTCCCAGTGTTGAATACAGTTTTGTGTAAGCCAATTGTCAATATTTGTTGCGGTATGTAAATTTTTTATAGTCATTTTTATATTGTCGGATATCAAATAGTGATTGAATCTGTGAGGTGTGGCGGCTTAGTGAAGTGGTCAAGTCATCACCCTCTCCAAGTAGCAGGTCTAGGGTTCAAATCCCACGGAC